CTTTTGTTCTTCAGTCTAGTTGTGGAGGATGTTGCTTCACTGGCCCAAGTTGGCACCATCATTGCGCTCTTCCCAGGCGAGGCAGATCAGTCGCCGGCTTTTGGACGGCCGCTCACTGCGGCTGCTGGCCGCTCATGCTGGCTGCTGGCCACACATGGTAGCCCATGGCAACCCACTGCAGCAGGGGCTGCAGCCCACACTGGCGACTCATGGCAGCCCAGCTCCAGGGTGAGCTGCTGTTCAGCATCTCAGCTGTAGAGGGCAGTGTCACTAGCCCTCATATGTGGGATCTGAACCAGGGCCCTCTGGCGTCCCAAGCCAGCTCTTAACCAACGTGCCACTCGGCTGGCCCTGCCTATTTCTTTCCTAATTGGATTGTTTAGTTCTTTTAGTGTTGAATTCTGAGAATCTTTTTTTTTTTTTTTAATTTTATTGGGAACAGTGTGTTTTTCCAGGGTCCAACAGCTCAAAGTCAAGTAGTTGCTTCAATCTAGTTGTGGAGGGCACACTCAGTGGCCCGTGTGGGAATCAAAGCGGCAACTTTGGTGTTATGAGCACCGTGTCCTGTGCTCTAACCACCTGAGCCAACCGGCTGTCTCTCTGAGAATCTTTATACATATATCCTAGGTATAAGTCTTTTTTCAAATACACGGCAGTTTGCTTTCTCCCAGTTTGTTGCTAATCTTTTAATCCTCTTAACAGAGTTTTTCATAGGGCACATGTTTTTAATTTTGATGAAGTCCAATTTACTGATTTTTTTCTTTTAACCAATACATTAAATAACAAGAAATAGTGATGGGTCTAATAATGACTGTAATTTTGAAGTAGATATGAGCATAAATGATAATTTGAGATGTCTACAACTGTAATATGAAAATTTCTGTGATTTCTCTTGGTGACAAAGCTATAGATATTACTAAAACTATTGTGATTGCTCTCTATATTCATAATGAAAGGAAATGATCATTTTTAATTAGAAGTTAGTAAAAATAATATTTTTGTTCAAAGGACCTCTTGAATTCTATCCACAAACCCTTTAAGGATCTGTGGGCTACGGTAAAAATGCCAGATTTAGAGGGTTTCTAAACTCTCTGGTAATAAGTTGACATTTGTTCTACTCCACCTTCCTTAGTTTGGCACTTCTTGTGGATTATCTATGGTATTATAATCTAACCAATGAAGAATGAAAAACACTCCAATTTGGGGACAGCCAATTCTCCACTATTAATAAATACCAATCACGCTACACAAGTAAATTAGCACTTTAATTTACCTGGATCCTGCTGTTTCCCCAGTCTGCAACAATGATGTTTCCATTTGAATCCACTGCTACACCCGTGGGAGCATTAAACTGCCCATTTCCTTCTCCATTTGAGCCAAACTTCAACATGAATTCTCCTTCTTGATTAAATACCTGTATGAAATATTTTTGAATTGTTTTATTTTAAATGAAAATAGTTGAGCCAACATTATGAATTTTAAAAATATTTATCTGAGCAGGTTATTTATAACAAGATCTATGATTTAAGACATTCTTAAAAAAAAAAAAAGAAAAGAAAATCCACAAACTAGACCCCCATATCACTTATGGCTTCAACAATTTACTGTATAAATCTGATTTCCCATTTGTTAAATCACTTTTTTTCTAGCTTATATCTGATTATTGAATACTTATGTGAAAAATACTCTATTATAAATTGCAAAATATTTACAAATAAAAGGTACAAATATAAGGTAGTATGAGAAAGTAGAGCTACAATTTTCAACAATATGATTCTTTCTGCCTTTAAATAAATAGCTAAATTTCAAGAACAGGCATTGTATTTCAAACAGGATGGATGATGATTCAAAGTTGGATCAGAAAGTTGGAGTTTTTTGTTAGGCCAGATGATCAGAATTTACCAATTTTATTATGTCAACATATCAAGAAAGAGTAGGCTGGGGCCGGCTGAGTGGCTCAGTTGGTTAAGAGCTCGCTCAAGAGTTTGAGCTCTGAGCAACTGCGGTTCGAGTCAGCCCGAGCTGAGCAGTCGCTGAGCTGCCAACAGGTGGCAGGATGGCTCAGCTAAAAAAAACAAAAAAAATCTCAAGAAAGAGTAGGCTGGACTTGACACCTATAACAGAAAATAGTGTGCGTGTGTGTGTGTGTGTGTGTGTGTGGGCAGTAGATGAGCAATAAGAAAAAGGCTTTTCTGTAGATATTTTTTCAGAATACATTTTAATTAAAATAGAGAGTTTATATGACCCTAAGCCTTTGATGAAATGAGGCTACCAGGAGAAGGGAGGCCGATAGAACTGGGAGCTAAACAGAACTCAAGCAAATTCTCTAATCTGATATAGGCAAGCAAAGGGTTGTTGTGATTAAATAGTCTTATTAATAAAGGGTTACTGTATATGTATCAGATACAGATTACTGATTTTGAGTTAATAAGTATTTAATGATAAGACTATAGTAAGCATGATTTTCTCTTGATTCAGATGATACTTAATGGTTTTAAAATGTCTCCAGAATATTATTTTGAGTTTCCATTATTATGCCAGCTACACGTGTAGAAATACTCATTAACAAATCCAAAAAGATTACATGCAAGGCACCATGAGAATAAGGGTTCCTACAACGTGAAACTGAGGGAGTGCAGATCTAATTTGAGGATGATCTCAGGACCTTTTAGAGATTGTCCTATTGCCATCTCTCTGATCATAAAAATTAAAATGACTTTCTTAAAAAAAATTGTAAATACTTTCTTGGAGGTTATTTTGTCATTATTTTCCATTAAAGATGAATAAACAATATGAAGCAATGTTTCCAGTAACTCAGATTATAACTTTTGGGAACATTAATAACATTCCAGCTCTGTTTGATTGGAGGTAATACTTGCAAGTTTGGATAAACGTTTCTTCATGTGCTTTTAAAACTGTTTCTGAAGTGTTTTTCAATTAACTTCTTATATTGAAGCTTCAATNGGTAGCCCATGGCAACCCACTGCAGCAGGGGCTGCCGGCGACTCACAGCAGCCCAGCTCCAGGTTGAGATGTTGTTCAGCATCTTAGCTGTGGAGGGCAGCATCACTGGCCCTCATATGTGGGATCCGAACCGGGGCCCTCTGGCATCCCAAGCCAGTTCTTAACCATCGCGCCACTCGGCCGGCCCAAAAAGGTTTATTCTTAACTTCGAGAAAAATCTAATTTTTCTGTTATCATGGACCCCTTTGGCAGTCTGGCCAACTATATGCAACCTCTCAAAATCGTGTTTTCCTGTTTTGTTTTGTTTTTCCTAGAATGTAACCAGTTTTTTACTTTTTATACCAAATCAAAATGCCAAATACCAGTCATGATACCATTATTCTTAACCATGAAGACATAGTTACCTTCATTATTATTCTTTTAAATTTGGTTTTGTTAACTTTTAATTTTGAAATCATCATAGATTCCCAGGAAGTTGCAAAGATAGCACAGAGACAGCCTATGTACCCTTCATCCCGTGTCCCCCAATGGTTACATCTTCTATAATGATAGTATAATATGAAACCCGGCACACTTACATTGGGATGGGTGTATATAGTTGTATGTCATTTTATCACAAGTGTAGATTCATGTAGCCACCACTGCAATCAACATACAGAACTGTTCCATCATCACAAAGCTCTCCCTCTGCCTCTTTGTAGTCACACCCACTCCCCTTGCCCCACCATCCTTAACTCTTGCCAACCACTAATCTGTTTTCCTTCTCTGTAATTTTGTCATTTCGAGGATGTTACAGAAACGGAATCATACAGTATGTGATCCTTTAAAAGTGGCTTTTTTTCACTCAGTATGATGTCCTTGAGATGCATCTAAGTTGTTGGGTATATCATTTGTCTGTTCCTTTTTACTGCTGAGGGGTATTCCATAGTATGGCTATACTACAGTTTGTTTAGCCATTAGCCTATCAAAAAAACATCCTGGTTATTTTCAGTTTTTGGCTATTACAAATAAAGTTTCTATGAACAACAACGTGCACATTTTTGTGTGGACATACATTTTCATTTCTCTGGGATAAATGTCCTGGAGTGTAGCTGCTGGGTTGTGTGGAAAGTGTATGTTTAGTTTTTTTAAGAAACGACAAACTTTTTAAGGCTGACTGTCATTGTACATTCCCACTAGCAACTGCATGCTTGCCAGCATTTGGCACTATCAATATTTTATTATATTATTATTATTATTTTTTATTAAAGATTTTATTGGGGAATTGGAGAAGAGGAACAGTGTTGGGGAATTAGGGAAGGGGAACGGCCAAGTTGTCTTTCAATCTTAGTTGTGGAGGGCGCAGCTAACTCAGCTCCAAGGCCAGTCACCATCTGGCTGCCCGTTGGTAGCTGGCAGAGGCTCAGCTCAAGGAGCCATGTTCAATCTTAGTTGCACGTGGGCATAGCCCACCATCCCATGCGGGAGTCGAACCGGCAACCTTGTTGTTAGGAGCACATACTCTCACCAGCTGAGCCATCCTGCCACCTGTTGGCAGCTCAGTTCGGGCACAGCTCACTGGCCCATGTGGGAATCGAACCAGCGACTCTGTTGCTCAGAGCTTGCGCTCTTAACCAACTGAGCCACTCGGCCGGCCCCTGGCATATCAATATTTTAATTTTTGATATTCTAATAAGTGTGTAGTGATATCTCATCATGGTTTTAATTTGTACTTCCCTAATGTCAAGTGATATGGAACACCTTTTCATAAATATATTCTCTTCAGTGGAATGTCTCTTCATGTTTTTTGCCTATTTCCTTTTTTTAAAAAAGATTTTTATTGGGGTATTGGGGGATGGGAACAGCGCTGCGGAATTGGGGAAGGGGAACAGACAAGTTGCTGTCCTTTTGTTCTTCAGTCTAGTTGTGGAGGATGTTGCTTCACTGGCCCAAGTTGGCACCATCAT